TGTTTAAAGTTTTGTTACAATTAATAATGTTAAAAGGAGAATGGCTTGTGGTTTATTTTGTAAATGTCATCAGAGAAACATGGCACGACTGAAAAATTTAAGATCCTATTTAATATATTTATCTATGTACTGAAGCCTGTGGACACTGGGTTCTGACATGAATTTCTTGAAGATCACTTTTGTAGGAGAATGGACAGAAAGCTGGTTCCTACGAGAAGATAAGAAGAAGAAGATGCTGAGATGCTGTGCTGGAGATGGCTGGAACAAGTACCAAGGACCAGAGGGCTTCACTGATGATGTTCCCTCCCAGATAGCTGTATAAGAAAAGGCTTTTCGAATCTTAAAGGGACATTGCATTATTATTGTTTTCTTTTGGGTCTCTGTATCTGTATTATGAAGGGGCTGCCCCTTTGATTTGTCAATGCCTATATTTACTTAAAGGGGTGATAGCTGGAGAGAGAGGAAAGAGAGCTGAGAAGAATTTGAATTCAGATTTAATGTGAAGGTGCTATCATAAGAATGATAATTTCTATATGCGATTATGTGGAAATGCAATTGCTGTTGTTTATTGTTAGTATTACAAAAGTTATTACTGTTTCTAAAACACTCAGATTGTAACATTTGAAGGGAATTATCCTACTCCCGCTGTGTCTCCCCTTTATGCAGGACTCCTTGTTCCGTTTTGGTTAAGATAGAAGGGAAAGAAATCAGGCTGATGGTTCTGAAGAGTCAGGGTTAAGTGACAGTTTGAGACCACCCTGATGGTTACTAAGATTTAGTGGGATGTGAGAAGTCTTCAGATAGTATAGAACAAGAGGAGGGATTGAATGGGATGTCCCAGTGAAGACTTCTCAGTGTAATTAAGGTAATGAGTTCAGAAGGTAGTGTGAGAAATGAACTCTCAGAAGTGAAGGCTCCTCAAAGGGTCAAATAATTCTTGATTATTACTTTCAAAATCCTCCCCCACTTAGACCCTGTTTTTAAGCACTTAACAGAAAGAATAAGCCCTGCCCCACCCCCAACCTGAGCTTCCAGCCTCTTTTCTTGTCTTTGAATTTCAGGCCTGGAATGTAAGCCTCACCTCCCAGTTAAGAGGATAGGAAGAAACTTTTGAGTTTAGAATGTAAGCCCACCCCCAGTTAAGGGGGTAAGGGATAGTGGTGGGTGGAAACTTGTTTGCGTGGTGGGTGGAGGCTTGTCTGTGTGGTGGGTGAGATTTGCTTTCATAAGGCGGCCCCTGTTACTCCCATGGCTCTCTCTCCATCGAGGAGCAGACAGCCATCTCGTGAGATTGTAATAAAGGTAACCTTTGCTTTCTACCTTGAGAAGTCTCTGAGTTTAATTTGGGATGGGGTCGCTGTCCCACACATGCCCCATCTCTGAAACTCTTTCATAATTAGGGAGACTGAGGTTTTTCAGCTAGCCAAAAATACAGCACCAAAGCATCAGGCTTTGCTGTAGACAAAATTATGCTTAAGAAAAATAGAAATGCAGACTAAATGGCTGGAGAACACTGACACAGCCTCACATGCAGCTAAGCCAGATGGATTCTTAGAAGTAACTAAGACTACTGCAACCCTAAATTAGATAGTGAGAAGCAGCATGGAATAGGAGATAAAGAGATAGCCTCAGAGCCAGGAAGACCTGGGTTCAAGCTCGGGCAAGTTGCTTCACCTTTCAGTACTCTAGACAATTCTCTAAGACTATAAATTGCAGAGAAGGTCACAACTTGTACAAATAAAAGGAATTTTCATAATCTAAGAGTTGCTATCCAAAAAATCACAAATTAAGTCCCTATCCCTATTCTTAAAATAGATAGTAATCTATAAGAAAAGTCTCTGATGACCACTGAGACATAGCAGTCAAAAAGGAAACATCTATTCTTAGCCTGGAGGCACTCTGCCTGACTTTTGTTAGATGGATGTGATGACTATGGCTAAAGAGCAGTCAGCATTCCATTATCAAAGTAAAATTCTAGGCACTATACCCTAGCAAAGTCAACCTAAACTGGCTTAGTTGGCCTCAAAGAGATGACCCCAGAAGACAATAGCAGAGAACAATCCCAGAAGAGGCAATGCGAGGTGACTATATGGTGAGACCAACTGAGACAGCATGCCCAGGAGAGATGTCAAGGCCAGCAAAGCAGTGCATGAGATTAGGCAGAGCACTATACCCGAGCAGAGATGCTGTGCCCAGACAAAAGCAGGCCCAGCGAGCTTAGGAAACAAAACATTTAGTAGAGCTGGCACAATCATCAAGGAGCAGGCACAAAAGAGTTGCTCAATGGCACCACCAAAAGACATCCAAGGTCCTACAACACTGAAGGTCTGAGTTGTCCCTTCACATTTATTCCCCTTTTGTAGACCTATCACATGTGATCCCTCTACATGCTCACTCCCCCCACTGATGGTATATATACATAGATTTGTAGGAGAGTGGGCCATAAGTCTATGGAAGGAATGTTCTACTACAAATCTTCTTACTATATTATTTCATTGAATATCTTTGCTTTAAAACTAACTGTGTCCACTGGTTAACTAAATATTGGAAAGGGGAGGGGATAAGACTTTATACAGAGCTTACTATATGTCAGCCACTGTACTAAGTGCTTTTTTACAAATATTATCTCATTTGATCCTCATAACAATCCTAAATGGTAGTTGCTGTTATTATCCCTATTTTACAGCCGAGGAAACTGAAGCAAAAAGAAATTAAGTAATTTGCCCAGGATCACACAGCTCAAATGTATCTGAAGCTAGTTTTGAACTCAAATTTCCATTCCAGGTCCAACACTATCCACTACACATGTTCTATAAACATGTCAATGGGAACTCATAAACTATTGTTTTGAATGGATATGGACACACAAAGTTCCCTGAGCCTGGGGTAGCTATTTTGAGTGCCTACCCCCAAGTGCTACATTCAGAATGGAGGATTTGGACTGGATTATTTTTATAGACCCTTCTAGTTCTAAGACTATTATCTATGGTCTAAACTTTGGCCTTGCTCAGACCTCTGCAATAGAAGCTCACTGTCTCTACTGTTTCAAAGATCTAAGTCTGTATCTGTTCACTTTCACAATGCAATGAACAAAATTTAAATATATATTATATAAGTATATACACACATACACATGCATAAAGACTGAGGAATTCAAGTAAGAAAGATTTCTTTGATAAGTTATTTACACTTGCTTCCCATCCTATGATGTTTCCAATTAATATGCCAGATTCTTATTTTAATCAAAGTCTGTACAACTTCAATCAAATCAAATCCATCCAACTATCTATCCCAAACACTGATGAACTGAGTGTTTTATGAGTGATCTGAAAAGCACTATATAATTGCAAATTATAGCAGTAATCAGCAATCTGACCCATATTCTTTCTTCATTAATAATCTTGAGATCTAAAAATTACTTCCTCTGAATCTATCTCCAGAAAATGATTCTAGAAAGGATAGAGCTCTCTGGCAAATTCACTTAATTTGGAATAAGATGAAAATAGGAATTGTATCCTCCTACAAACATAGGCTCTATATTAAATCATGATTTCTGTAATTAATTATATTTATAATTCATGGAATTATAGACTGTCAGGGCCAGAAGAGATCTTAGAGGTCATCTAGTCCAGCACCCTGGGATTGACAGATGAAGCAACAAATAGCAACATAGGAGGGTTAAGTAACTTGCCTAATAAATTAGTTGCAGGGCTAGGGCTAAGGTCTCCTGACTCCCAGCCCAGTGCTCTCTCCATTTTACATCAAGCAAAAGTTGTCATCTATCTAGAGACAGTTCCCTGGGAATGCTTGCTCCAGAGAAAAGACCCTTCCTGGGTTCTGTCACATGCATAAGTATAACTGAAAATAGTCAATAATTGTATCTGACATTTAAATTTGATTTGTTCCATTATCTGAGGAGATGATAAAGTAGGCATTTTCTAAATAAAGGATTTGTCTTTACAACAACAAAACTCTAATGGAAATCTGGCCGGCAGACTTCATCCCAAAGTAAAGAAAGCTGTCCCTTGGCCCTTAGCAAAGTTCAATCACATTTCTTCCACATCTGAGATTCTCTGAATTGTTTACATTTTTAGCTTCCTTCACCAAAAGGGAGAGAAAATAACCATGCTTCTATTGAGGTTATCCAACACCCAAAGAGCCACCTAAAATCTTCCAATTCCAATCTTGGCCCCTTTGTAACTCTCCCACAGTTCCCAACCTTGAGTTTTAGAAACATTTTAGTCCTAAGATATCTGCTATTCAGAGATAAACTTGTTTAGCAGGTTTCCTAACCAAATCAAGTGAAATCTCCATTTAATTTCAGCCTCTTGGCATACTATGTCTGTTGATTTCATGCTGTAGCTATAAGGGGATAGACTGATTTGGGCCCACAATGGTATGTTATATTGCCAACAGGATAAAAATATGCCCCAATTTTGGCTTATGGATTTATCTACCACCATGGACATGACAGTTGTCATGTTTTCAGACTACACTCTCTGATTTTTTTAATGTATTCCAACAGATAGTTAGTCCATGGGTACCAGTTATAGTGATATTGCACTAAATTAAATCTACATCCTCAGAATTATTTCAGTTTAATTCTGGTTACTACCTTGGGAACATCTCAGCCAAAAATCACTTCTTACATATATCTCCAGAGCCCCCTGCCCTACAGAAAGATATTCAGTATGAAAATTTTAAAGCACCAGAATCTCTATAAGCATGAAAAATTCTAAGAGTTCTAAAATACTGAAGTTGAAATCTATGATTATAGGATCATAAATTCAGAGATGGAAGGGACCTTAGGGACCATTTTACAGATGAGAGATTAAGGCCCAGAGAGGTGAATGACTTACCCAAGGTCACCCAGGTCAGCCAGAGCTGGAATATGAAACCAGGTCTTCTGATTCCAAATCTAGCACCCTTTGCCCTCTACCACACAATATCCAGAAATACCACCTTTTGTTATAAAAAGAATATATAAATAGAATGGTACCTTACAGCAACTGTCATCACCTCTATTTTTTTTATTTTGGTATATAAGTCACATATGCCAACTTTTCCAATAAATCTGAACTCAAATGATATTAAAAGAAAGACTAAAAAAAACATTAAGCATGCCAAGCCATGTGCTAAGTACTAGTGATAGCGAGAGATAAGTAAGCGCTCTCAAGGAGTTCACATTCTAATAGAGCGAAATAACACATAGGGGACAGTTCAACTATAGACCAGGTAGAAAGGCCCAGTGGTCCTTACGGTGTAGCAGCAAGTCAAATGATGATGCAGTTTCTTTAGTGCCATTTCTATTAATAAAACCACAGCATTTTTTAAGTTGGCTGACTTGACAGTCCCTAGGACTTCAGTGATGAGAACATTTGTTTCCCAGTCTTCAGTTGCCAAGGCTGCTAAGGAGGGAGTTTGTAATACCTGCAAGAGGCAATTGTCCAGCCAGGTGTCTAAGGGTCTGCAGCCCTGGGGAAGGACAGAGAAGGGAATAAGCATTTGTATAATACCTACTATGTGCCAGGCACTGTGCTTAGAACTTTATAAATATCATCTCATTCGATCCTCACAACAGCCCTGGGAGGGAGGTGCTGTTATTATCCCTATTTTACAGTTGAGAAAACTAAGGCAAACAGGTTGTCCAGGGTTAACCAAAAATTCAATTAACATTTATGAAGCACCCACTACATGACAGGCACTGTGCTAAGTGCTGGAGATAAAAAGAAAAATGGCAAAAAGCCCTTGCCTTGAAGGAGCTCACAATCTAATGGGGAGACATGGGATCACACAGCTAGCAAATGTCTGTGTCCAGATCTAGACTCAAGTCTCTCTGACTCTAGGCCTAGTGCTCTATCCAGGCGCCACCAACTGTCAAGCTAGAAGTGATAGGGGTGGAGGGGGTTGGGGGGAGGCAGGGGGGAAAGGCCTGGAGATCATGGTTACAAGGTCCAGGGCTGCTTCCATCAGAGTCGTTAAAGGGCACAGATTTTCCCATTTCACTTTCCTTTGGTTAGAAATTGAGAGCAGTATAATGGAACACTTTCTCTATACTTACACTCAATGGGGGTTCAGTTTTTTGGTTAGATTTTTAAAATAGTACCTTCCCCTCCTTCCCCATCAGGCCTAATATGTTATAATAAGGCAGTCCTAATCAATATACATTTATTAATCACCTACTATGTGCCAGGTACTGTGCTAAGGGCTGGGGACACAAAAACGAAAAAGAAAAAAAGTCCCTTCCCTGGAAGAAAACAACACACCAAAGGAAGCTGAAAAGGGATGGGAGGAGTTCAAAGGAGAATAGCCACGTGGGAGAAAAAGAGATGGCCTGACTGGGTGCCCTCCTTAAATGGAGTTTCTGGGAGGAGCATTGTGCTCTGCCACCCAATCAGGGGGGTCCCAGGGGCAGCGGATGTGATCCTGCAGGATAAAAATAGATGTCCCCAGGGTGTGATGGAGAAGTCCAGAGGAGAGCGTCAGGGGAGAAATGAGAAAACTCAATTTCTTTACTAGTTAGTTTGTGCAGGATGTATTGGGTTCCTAACCTTGATCACCAGATGTCTGTCTGTTCAAAATGCTCATCACCTTTCCCTAAATCTGAATGTTGATGATGTGAAAATGAGTTTTAATATCATCTCCTCCTGGTTCAGACAAGTTTAATGAGTTTGAACTGAGGGATGATCCTACATGACTTTGTCACAATTTTACCCCAAAACTCAGACTCTCTGTACTATATCCTGACCCATACCTCTTGAAGCAATGATATGTAATAAACTGCAGATCAGCGTCTGGAATTGGTGGTTCTAACTTTTTAATGAGAGCCAATGTATTATTGAAGTTGGTACACTCAAAACACACAATATCTGCATGTAGTTTCAGTAGAGGGCTTTGATAGGAAGACACACTCAAATCCTTTACTTCAACTGTCCCCTGAAGTTTCATGCAAATGGTTGTATGTAAGATGGACAGAGTTCCAGAATCAGCCTACTCAATACACTCTTGTCATTTATTGTCCCTGAGTTTTGATGGAACCCATCAATGTTCATCCACGTAGCAATAAATGAAAAACTTGGTCATCCTTTGGATAATGAAATAGCTTTCATTGGAAAATTAGTTATTGTTGTCTTCATTCTTCTTTATTTCGTGGTTTAAAATGTCTTCTAGTACAACTGACATGATTTGTGCTCAGGAATTGACCACTGGCATGAAATCATAGGTACATTTCTCACATTTCATGAATAGATTTCACAGAATCACATTTGCCAGAAAGGAAGACGAAATTTTTTCCCCCTGTTTATTTTTAAAAATCAAAGTCATCCTGAGTGTACGTATTGGCAGTTACCACTCATTTCTGCTCTTGGTGGGGATGCCATAATACTATATAGTATTACTATAATAGTAATTTTACTATTCTACTATTCAAAGCCTTCTATAACTTAGATCCTTAATATGTACTCTTTGATCCAATGACCCTGGCTTCCTGGACGTTCCACAAACAAGGCACTCCATCTCTCAGCTCCAGGCATTCTTTTTGGCTGGCCCCCCATGCCTGGAACACTCTCCCTCTCCACTCTGACTATTGACCTCCTTGGTTTCCTCTAAGTCCCAACTAAAATCCCATCTTCTACAGGAAGCCTTCCCCAATTCCTCTTAATTCCAGTGTTTTGCCTCTTTTAATTTTTTTCCTATTTATCCTGTATATAACTTGCTTTATATATTTGTTTGCATGTTGTCTCCTCCATTAAACTGTAAGCTCCTTGAGGGCAGGGGCTGTCTTTTGCCTCCTTTTGCACCCCCAGCACTTAGCACAGTTCCTGGCACATAGGAGGTGCTTAATAAATGTTTATTGAATTGAGCTGGGCATTACAGTATAATGATAATGAATGGGATTAATTAAGAAGTATTTATAAAGTGATTCCTGTATGCAGAACACTACTATAGATGAAACAGTGTGGGAAAGGCCCAGTGATATGGACTTCAAATGAGAAGAGAAGAAAGAGAAATAAAGAAAAACAATAAGGGACTCCAAGACCATGCAAGCTAAAAGCACCTCAGAAAAGAAGGGAAAGGAAAGAGAAGACATAGGAATAATAATTTCAGTGGACAATTGAGGAGGAAAATCAAAGGAGCTTTTGTGGTCACTGAAAAAAAACAGCTATCATCTAAAGAATGCATGATAATATAAACACATAGTAATTTTTTTTTTAATTTCCTGAACATCTTTTTCAGAACAAAGCATAAAGAGCACTAATTAGTAGTTAATACAGAATCTTAGAGTTGGGAGGGATCTCAAAAATCATCTAGTCTAACTAATAGATGAACAGGTATAGTACCTAACAAGTAGTCATCCAGCTTCTGCTTAAATACCCCTAATGACTGAGAACTCACTACCTTTCAAGGCTGCCCTTTCCATTTTGGAACAGCTTTAATTGTTAGGAGGTTCTTCCTTGTATTGAGCCCAAATCTCACTACTTATAATTTCCAATCATTAATTCTAGTTCTCTCTAAGGTCAAGCAGAACAAGTCTAAAACCTTTTCTCATATGACAGCCCTTCTATTGTAGCGTAAAAATAACTCCAGCTCTGGAGTCACAGAACCTAGGTTCAAATGTGCATAATTTCAGTCCTGTCTGACTCTTTGTGACCCTTTCAGGGTTTTCTTGAGAAAGATACTGAAATGGTTTGCCATTTCCTTCTCCAGCTCATTTACAGATGAGGAAACTGAGGCAAACAAGGTTAAGTGACTTGCCCAGGGTCACACAGCTAGTAAGTATCCGAGACCAGATCTGAACTCAGGAAGATGAGTCTTCCTGACTCCAGGCCCAGTACTCTGTGCCCTAAGACACCTGGCTGCCCTAGATTCAGACGCCCCCATTCTTACTACCACTGTGACACTGGGCAAGTCATTTAACCTTCCTGAGCCTCAGTCTAATCTAAAAATGAGATAATTGGCCTGGGTGCCCTCTGAGATCCCCTCCAGCTCTAGAGCTATGATCCTACTATACTATGACTTAAAAATGGCTGTCATGTCTTTCTTTCCAAGTCTTCTCTTTTCTAAGCTAAATGTTCCCAGTTCCTTCAACAGGTTCATAATTATTACTGGGCTATAGCCAGTTAAAAACTAAAAGTAAAGCATGATGACAGTGCAACATATTTGTATCCTAAAAAGAACAATGACAACGTGAATAGGATGAGTGTAAAAACTCAAAGGGGTAAGGGGACTGAATGACCCTAAAACTGATTCAAGGGGCAGGGACCCCCAAGTATTCAGGGAGCTGCACATGGGTCAGTGGGTAAGCTCCCCTGGGGTAATTCTTAGGACCACAGATCTAACGCTGAAAGGAACCTCAAGAGGGCACCCAGTCCAACCCTCTCCTCTCAATGGTGAGGAAACTGAAGCTGGAGAGATTAAGTGATTCCCCCAAAGTCACACAGGTGGTAATTGTCAGAGGTGAGATCTGAAGATAGGTCATCAGACTCCATCCATAGTCAAGCATTCTTTTCACTAGTAGTCCACTGCCTCCTTTGGGGGGAGCAGCTAACACCAGGGCTGGAACTTAACCATAGGGCCTAGCCCCGTTGAAATCATGTGGCCAAGGGCAGTTTTCCTTGGGAAGTATCTACCTACTTTCTTTCAGAAGGATAATTTTTAACATAAAACATTAAACACCAAAGCTGGAAGATCCCTTAAAGATAATCCAACTGCCTTATTTTACAGATCTCACTTTCAAGTAAGCCTTGAAAGAAGGACTGAAGGACTTGGCCAAAGACAGGCCTAATTACTGGCAGAGGCAGAACTTCCTTGTAACTCTGATGCCAGGGCTCTCTCCACTAGACCCTCCTGAGGTTATGACTTTACACCAGGGCCTTGGTCATTCATTTAGTCAAGAAACATTTATTAAGGACCTGCTACATGTGAAGCCCTTTGCTAGATACTGAAGGAAACAGTATGTTCCTATAAAGCATGGGGCCCTGCCCCATGGAGCTTACAACCTAGGACATACAATCTTACCTGACAATTTCATAAAAGATTCAGAACAAAGTGTTCCGTGAGATTCAGTGGGGATGGTTACTGCCTACTTGAGGGTACCAGGAAGTACCATTTGAGCTAATTTACAATACGAAACCAGCGGGGAACAAGGGGAGGGAAACAGAGTGGGTCTGGGTCTACAGAGGCCGCCCCACCATTCACACCAGAGAATTCGGAGTTGGCCTTCTGCTTTTTTAAAGTACGGGACTTTCATCCACTGATTCCCCATTTTGTCCAGAACAATAAGCATTGGAGAATTTCATTTTACTAGAGCACAACTTCCATCTAGTGGTGAAAATAGGCAACTGCAAGGTTATAAGCCTTTGTACTCCAAAGAAGGCGTTTATCCCGGAAGGGGAACTTTCTCTTTTAAGGGACCATAGGATTTTAGAGCTAGAAGATACACTAGAGGCTATTGAATCCAACACCCTCATTTTATA